ACGGTACAGTACCAGGAAAAGCTGTAGTAAAGTACATCAATTGGCAATTCACTACTGTTATTTGGTACTGTTCTGTAGACCTCATTTATGGTTACTGTGCTTGGTTTTTTTCTAGCAGTCAATATCAACGGGGTTTCTCTGAACTTCGAATGAGATTGACAGCCCATTTCGCACTTGAAATATGAGAAGTAATTCACCTGAATGCTAGATTTTATATTTCGAGATGAAATTTCTTGCGCTTGCTGGATAGTTGAACTAGGATCTTGACTTGGAAATGTTTTGTCATTTTCTAAGTATTTTTTCATCTTTTGACAAGTATAGTAAAGCGCTCACAAATGTTTGCAACAAAACGTCAAGTTCACTTGAAAAACTTGGCATTTTTGAACTGGAAAAAATGAAATACATTTCCAGAACAACAAAAAACATTTATTGTCATTTCAAAGCAGTACATATTCATGTAAAAACTCACTCGGTATGGTGAAAAATGAGATACACTGAACCTAAAATACTCACAGCACTACACTGCTCCCAGAAAATAAAATAACAAAATAAATTACGGTAATCAAGCTTCTTGTACAACTGACTCATTTTCTACAATTTTCCTTCCCTTCCCAACAATATCCTCCTCCAATACCTCCCTGGACAATAAAACTTCCAAGACATTTCTGTTTGAATTAATTGCTTCCAAAACATCACAAAATCCAAGCCCAGAGAGATTCCTTCCATTGATTTGCAAAAGTCTGTCACCTGTAAAGAAAAATACTATGAAAACTTCGGAAGCTACGAGATTATAAAATAACTTACCTTCCAAAATCAAGCCAGATTGTGCCACAATACTGATGTACGGCATGCAAGCAACGTAGAAGACTTTATCGTCACGTTCACTTATCAGCAATCCCCACGGACGCAGATCATCCTCTTCTCTAACTAGCCTAAATGTTTTCAACATACACTTGTCTTATCAGATATTCCCCATAATTTTTTCGTGGATTTGGTCCCCCAATAAACAAAGAACCAGATCATTTTTTTCGACACTACCTGATGTTCATGATTTTTCTCTCAGGTCCAACTCCACACTTTTTAAAGCGTTCCAAAAGTGACTGAGAGACAGATTCGTTTTCCCAGTTCCAGTCGGCACACGCTGATTGCGAGCTTTCATCTGCGCTAGCTTCGTTGAGAGTTGTGAAGTCATTCTCAACTATAAAATGAAAATACGTTGGCATGGAAAGCTGAAGTACCGTCATGAGGAAAAAGATTGAGGCAAATTTTCTTTTCTGGAACCTCAGGCAGATGTCCCCTGAATCCACGAACTGACTAATCGCGTAGAAGAGGAATGCAATCTATGCTTGGGGTATCCAAAAATCAA